AGACCCGTATTCTGTCAATAACACCTGGTTTTAAACCGACGATGACCTTGTTGAACTCCAGGAAATCTGCTGCCAATATGGTTTGTCTTGTATCTGGTGACACGTTGAGGACGGGCATTAGCTTCCGTCCCCCGATTTGCACAATGTGTTCGGCCATAACGTCAATGCCGCGTGAGTAACCGCCAACAGACCACGCGACCATGGAGCACGATTAAATCTTTTCGCCTCGCCGTTGCTCATCGATACTGCGGCACCCGCACCGCTCACAAACAGTTCCATCGTTCCGTCTACTTCCACCATTGCTTCGATCACCCCCTACCCAGTGCCCCCATCACGCATTCCTCAATCCGATAGGAAAAGCAAGGTTGTATAAATGGGTTTGGTACATGAGCAACCGCACGCCTCACCGGACACTGTCTTTTCCAGTGTCCCGAGTTGCCACCAAAGAAACAACATCCCCTTGCTCGCTCCTCCGAGCGCTGAGTACGAAGCCCATTGAGGTCTTGCGCGAGCTGTTCACCATCCGTAACAAGTTATCCAACCGCACCACGCCTCCATGGTGTTCCTCCTACAGCGCAGCGAATGACGCATCGCGCAGCTCTCGAGTAATCTGCGTCATCTCCTTCAGTTGCATACGCCCAGTAGCGTTCGCAATCCGGACGCGTTCCGCGATTGGCAGTGGGAGACCTGCCATGTACTGGTCCACCAGTAATTGCATTTTTGACGGTTCGTCCATTCCCGGCAATGCCGGTCCGATAATCCCCTGGTGTGAACTGCAAAACACGAGGAAACCCGAAACAACACAAAGCCAAGCCGCCTTGGACCGCTGCATCGCCTCCTGACGGTTGGCCGGGCTGTCCAAGCTGGACGCCAACGCATCCCACGCTGCGGCCCACTCCAACTTGACAGGGCCTCTTCGCATCGCCTCCAGGACTGCCTTCACCTTTGAGGATGCTCCGCAGAGATACCAGTCCGACTGGTCTTGACCGCCTCCGACACTTCCTTGAAACCCTCCAGGAAGGGCCTTATTAATGCCACTTAGACTGTGATTAGTTACAAAAGCAGAAGGCTAGGCACTAGTATAAACGTAACATTGTACACGTAGTAATGCTGTATACAAGTGAGACCCATCCCATATGCTTGCATGATGGCGGAGTTCAATTGCGATTGCAGTACGTTGCGACTGGATGCGTCTGGCATTGGGCATATGGACGGAAGCGCAAAGTCCAGTCGTTCCAGAGGTGTTGAGTGGTTGCACCTGGATGTGACATGTACAGCAGAGTGAATGCGAGTTAAAGCGTATTCACAATTTCCTATTTTTGTCACGCACTGCGACGGCAGCTTGGTAATGTACCGAGGTCAAAATGCTGTTTTAACGTGGCGTGTATATCACGTGGTATGTGTCACATGGCGTGTGCTTAGGCTTTACCGTGTAGGTGGAAAAGTACAATACCACAAACGTGAGTGTTTGAGAATGGGAAACGGACCTAAAATTACCCTCCTCCTAATGAAATTGAGTGAATATGCTGTGGAGGGTACGATAATGATTGCGTTGTGTGGCTGTTTCCAGTGGGCAAAAAAGCGGTCAGGCCAATGCACCCGTCATCCGGATCGAGTGACACGTGTTGTTTCCTTGGCGTAAGCATCTGTTTGGGGTGTTACCGTCAAAGACTTCGGTGGCCTTTTGTTCATGGAGGCTTGGATGTTATCTGCCAGTGTGGATTCAAAAGAATCGGTATAAGCAGGTTTCAAGAGGTCAGTGCTAACAATGTCCGTTCTATTGTGTAGCTGGACAGTAAGATGTTTGACATGACGTGTGAGCACTAAGAAGGACCTTCATACGGAGGTTAAGAGAATTGTTTAACGCGTCCATTACGAATGAAAACGAGCGCACGAAGAGAGACTAGGGTGAAGGTATACTAATTTCACTGACCTCGTGGGTGCGCGTAACATAAGTAAAGGCACCAGTGTTATTGTTAGTTGTGGGGGCAAACATTGACTAGGGCTGCGTAATTTGGTTCCGAACAATGAACAGTGATTTATCACGGGATAAAAGCAAGTGCTTGACACGTCCCGTAGGATGGTTGCGGTGAATATGATGCAAGTAAAATATGTCTGGGTCATCTATCGAACGTTTGCCGAGATGAATACTTTAACATCAGTGTAAAATGAAATAAAAATTATCGCGCGTAAACGTTCAGAAAGAGACTGGGGTGCAGTGATCATTGAGGTCAGGAATGAGAAAAGTAAAATATGGTCGCTCACTTAGGTCCATTTGATAAATAAATCCCGTTGTGAACATGCTTGACGTAATCCACAATAGAGGAGCTTAGGTAACAAAATGTTGGGAGCTAAGAGCAACATCTAATCGTTTTTTGAAAACATCCAGGGTAGGAGAGGATACCACTGAGTCTGGGAGTGCGTTCCAGGGTTGGCAAACCCGAAGGTAAAAGTAATTACGTCGACACTCTAGACGACTATATTGTTCCTTCAACTTTAAGCAGTTACCTCGGAGCTGCGTGTTGTGGCTAAGTTTCAGCAAATGGCGGCATACGTGGTTGGGGTCACTCAGTATCTGATACGCTAATATGAGATCGCCGCGCAGCCTGCGATAGCGCCCGCTAAATATACCCAGCAACTTCAGCCTTCGGTGGTAAGAGTGATAGCGCAGGCCCTTTACATTCTTAGTTGCGCTTTGTTGTGGTGCCTCTATCGCTTCTAGGTCGCGCTTCAACCAAGGTTGCCAAGCTTGGATAGCGTATTCAACATGCGGGCGCATATAGGAATTGTGCATCATTGGGAAGATTGATGGGTCAAATCTCCCGAATGCCCTTCGCAGCATGCCGACGTGCTGGTTGCCTCTTTTCGCAGCTACCTCAGCCCGTTTTGAACAATTGAGGTCGCTCTGCACGATCGCACCAAGATCACGTTCCTGGGAGCTATTCTGCAATCCGTTTGTCCCAAGTATATAGGTGTAATTATGACTATGGCGTAATTGTACAACGCGACATTTGTCTACGTTGAACGGTAGGGTGTTTTGAAGTGACCAGTTCGACACTGTGTTAAGATCGTGCTGGAGCCGTTCATGGTCGTCCGGTCTTTTGATGCTTCACCATATCTTGATATCATCAGCGAAGAATAGGAAATCGGAAGTAACTGATCTCGCCAAATCGTTAATGAACACCAAGAATAGACGAGGTCCAAGAACCGAGCCTTGTGGTACTCCGCACGCCACATCGATTGCATCAGACAATGATTCTCGGACTCTCACCACTAGTCGTCGTTCCTGTAAAATTTGCTAATCCAACTCAGGATTGGATCGCCAATGCCGTAGTTCCGAAGCTTCTGAAGGAGAATGCGATGGTCTAAGCGATCAAACACTTGTGAAAAGTCCATGTAGATGACATCGACTCCCACTCCATCATCAACAGCTTCCGTCCAGCTATTACGTGCAATTAATAGGTTAGTATTACACGAATGCTTTTGACGAAAGCCATGTTGCTATGGCGCTTTTAGATTGTGGCTTTCCAGGTATTGCATCAGCGCGTCTGCGATGATTGATTACATCACTTCGGATAGCACGGGAAGTAGTGTTATTGGACGGTAGTTGGCAGGATCAGTGCGGCTACCTCCTTTATGGATAGGAGTGATGACCCCTTGCTTCCATACTGGTGGAATACGGTTTTCCTCTAGACTTCGCTGATAGAAAACAGCCAGTGGTTCTGCTAGATCACTAGCTACCGCCTGTAGAGCCAGTTCCGCGAGTGGACATGGAAGGGTTGATCGAACGATTGTACACAAATAGAGCAAAATCATTGGAAGTGTATCTGTCCATTGAGTCAGATCATTGTGTGCTTTGATCGCGGTTTTTAAGTGTCGATAAAAACGTTCCACTAAAAACCGTTCGCTTGGGGACGATAAACTAGTACGAATCCTTATGCAGCCCTAAAGTTCCGTCAAATGTTTGAAAGCTGGGATTCAGATTGTGAACCGCTGTCAGTGATGATGTAGGAAGAAACGTCAAAGATGGCTATCCATCTGGTGACAAGTGCATGAGTGATGGTTTCTGCATGTGTCTGCAATAGGAATGGCTTCACGCCACCGAGTGAAACGACCGACGTATGTCAGAATGTACGAATTGCCACTGGAATAGGGGAGGGGTCCTACGACATCGTGATAGACACGGTCGAACCTCATCTACAAAGGGATACGGCAAGGAAATCTTCCTGAAGCGACCTGGTTGATCAAGGAACCAATGCAAACTACCACACGCGAGTGAAATTTCGCAGCGTGTCAAGCATAACTAATATGAAATGCGTCCATTCCGACAAACAAGACATCAACCCATCTTAGTCATCCCGTTTAATGATTACGTGGCGTGGGTTTCTTTCTGTGTCTAGTAGTTGTATGGTGTGCATTGCTTATGCGTCCATTTTTCGTGCGCATGCTACTGTGGTTCCAAAGTGTTCCTTTGCTTTGGGAGAGTCATTATGGCCTGCTGTTGGCTGGTTGCTGTTTCGCATTATTGTACGACGTTACTGATAAGTTTCGCAGTAGTGTCTGCCTTTACTCCACCACAATGCAAGCTTTTACAATGCAAAACAGTGGTACAGCTATAATTGGCTGGTGAATATGGACACTGCAGGGAAAACTAGCTATTGAGAGTACCAGCCCGATGGACCGAATATCGCTTATGAAAAGAGATACGTGCTTTTGTAGACCCAAGCTCATAATGATGCACTTGTTCCGAGTCAGTGATCTAAACGGATGTAGGATCTTCAGTGATTTATTTATTACATTTAGGTTAAAAATGCTATATATGGGTGCATGCTTTAGGTCTTGACGAGAGTACAGCAGTCGATTTTGAAGACCAAATATCATAAACATCTTTTAATTGTGTGTTTCGACAAATTTCGTTTCTAACATCAAATGCATCTACATTCACCTATTATTGTTGTTTCGCAGTCAAAAATGAAATCCATTTCTGATTTTCAATTCAGGGAAAATATGATTGCTTCAATGAAAGAAGTGAAAAAGCTTCGGGTGTTGCCTTCACTAGAAACAATCATCTTGTTGGGTAAGTGTGTCCATACATACGAGTTGAGGAGGCCTACTGCATTTGCTTAGTGTCTGTGTCCAACGTCATCCAGATAGCAATTTCTGTCAAAATGTGCACCTCATCATTCACGACATCCTCATCAGCATTATTATTACGAAAAGCTAGCTGAGCGTGACTAGCAGTAGTGCAAAATGAGAAATGAAACAAATGCAGTACCACTGTGGGCAGTCATAGCTTATGTAATCCGCGGGAGAAGAAAACACATGAATACTCACTCATGTACCTACGCCCTATGTTTAAGTGACATAAATCCGATAGGACGGCATGATTCATGCAATCCAAAATAGCTCGGCTTAGATTTTTAAAAAATGTGCTGGGATCTAAGGGCAATACATCCAATCGTTTTTTGAAGATGTCTTAATTAGCGGCGGAGACACCTGAGTCAGAGAGTGCGTTCCAGAGTTGACAAACCCCAAGAGAAAATTAATCCCTTGCGCACTCCAGACGGCTATACTGCTCACTCAGTTGCAAACACTTACCTGTGAGATTGGTGTTGTGGCTGAGTTTCAGCAAATGACGGCTTACGTGGTTAGGATCACATAATATTTGGTAACTAAAATGAGATCGCCATGCAGCATTCTGGAGCGTCCGCTGATAACTTCCGGCGACTTCAGTCTTCAATGGTACGAGTGATTTCGTAGGCCCTTGAGTTTCTTTGTTGCGATTCATTGTGGTGCCTCTACCTCGTGCTTCAACCAAGGTTGCCAACCTTGTATGGCGTATTCAACACATAAGGATTGTGCACCAGTGGAAAGATTGGTGGGTCTAATCTCCTAATGCACTTCGCAGCAGGCCGATGTGCTGGTTACATCTTTTCGCAGCTACCTCAGCATGTTTTGAGCAGGTGTGGTCGCGTTCCTGAGAAGTGGTTTGCAATATGTACGACGCAAGTCACTACGCGTAGTCATGTCTGCGGTGTAATTGAACAGCGCGACAATTTTCCACATTGGAACAATGATTTTATAAAGGTAAAAAAGCTAATACTTAACAGGTTCCGTAGGATAATTATGGTAAAAATACAAAATATGAATTTTTTTAGCGAAACAGGGTTTACACACGGGACTCACTGGACTATACGTAGGTACACGTAAGTACACTGTAAATCTAAGGTAAATACATGAGAAATGACGGCAAATTGGATCTTAGTAAAAATCGAGTCTCCGGCTAGTGTACACGTACAGGAGGTGAAAAACGTGGAACAAAAGCTGTGAGTTGACAGTCAGTGAAATCTCTTACAGGCACTTATGTTTATCGATGGGTAATGGGTCATGTAAGATGGTGCAGCAAAATAAGTGCACTGTCAACCCTGGATTTGAACTCTGCCAGCGTGGGAGCACATATGACAGATTCCGGTAGGGCATTTCACACTCTGCAAACGGGTACGGTAAAGAAATTCTGCCAGCATTCTAAACGACTGCGCTGGTGTGCCATCTTGAGACGTTGACCACTCAAATTGCCGTTGTGACTTAGCCCTAACAAATGGCGGTGCGTGTGGTTGGGATCTCTCAAAATCTGGTAAGTCAAAATGAGGTCGTGGTGCCATCTGCGATCCTGTCAGCTGAAGACCCCGAGCAATTGAGGCCTTCGTTCATACCGCAGATTATACAGGCACTTGACAATTTGGTTTGCCCGACGTTGGGGTATCTCCAAGACGGAGAGATCTCTCCTAGGCCATGACTACCAGACCTGTATTGCGTATTCCACATGTGGCCGTATATATGAGCCGTTGTGGAAAAATCAAAGGGTCGAATCGTCTGAATGCACGCTACAGGAGGCTCACGTGTTGGATGCCTCTCTTTGACGCTATTTCAGTCTCATTCAAACATCCAAGATCGACCTGGAGAAAAACCCTCAGATACTTCTCGTCAGAAGACGTTTGCATCTCCGGGTTGCCGAGTTTGTAGGAATGCACCAACGTGTACAGTGGATGTAACACTCTACATTTGTCCACATTGAATCGAAGTTGATACTGGATTGACCAGGTGTATACTCTATCCATATCAGCTTGAATTATTGTGATATCACCTGGTATATTGATTGCGCTCCACAGCTTGATATCATCGGCATTAAGCAGACACTTCGAGCTTATGAGCCGTGTGATATCGTTAATATACGTCAAAAATAATCGAGGTCATATTACCGATCGTTGTGGTATTTCGCATTCAACTCGGATGGGACCTGACAGCGATTCATGCACACGTACTTTCAGGCGCCGGTTTAGAAGAAAGCTTCTGATTTATCCTAGGAGAGGATCACCAATATCAAACGTTTGAAGTTTGAAGAGCAGAATGTTATGGTCTAACCGGTCCAAGGCTTCTGTGAAGTCAAGAAACACCACATCAACTCCCGTGCCAAAGTAAGTAAAGCAAAGGACTTGTTCCAGAACATCTCTAGCAATGGTGAGCGTGGGTTCAGGCACCTGCCAGTCCTGGAGCAGTGTTTCACATTTTTCCGGAGTGAAGCATAAGCCGTACTTAGACGCCTCCATCGCTAAGCGGTCCAAAGCGTTCTGGACGGTTTGTGGGTCGTCCCCCAGCAAGGCGATATCATCGGCGTAATTCAAGTCCGTGACTTTGTCTCCATGGAGGAGCACAACACCGCAGTTCTGGGCCCCTTCCAGTGCTCTTTGGAGAACATCTTCGATGGCAAAAGTGAAGAATAAAGGTGAAATAGGGCAACCTTGGTGAACGCCGTTGGTCACAGCAAACGAAGAAGAAAGCGTGCCGTAAGCCCTGACTTTGCCCGAGGTGTGACTGTAAAGTTCTTTCAGGATTGTTACAAATTTGTCGGGAACACCTTTCTTCAGCAAACAGTCCCACAACGCAGATCTACCTACGGAATCAAATACCAAACAGATTTTCTAAAACACTACGATTGTTGGCCGCTGGTGGATGTGACGGAGTTCAAGAAGGTGGCGAAGCGTGAAGATTTGGTCGATGCAGCCGCGGCCTTAACGAAATCCGGCTTGTTCTTCTCGGGAAAACTCCTCACTAGTCCTCGAAAGCCTGCGAAGTAGGACAGACACAAAGATTTTGGTTGCGACAATTAACGAGATTCCGCTGCAGTTACAGCAATCGTCGCAGGAGCCTTTCTTGTGAATCAGAACAATAATCGATTCTCTCTTATGAGTTCGGAACCTTCTTTTCAGTCCAAAATTTTGTGAACAGCGACAGGACTTCGCTGACAAGTACACTCCCGCCATCTTTGAATATGGCGGGAAGTAGGCTGTCGGGTCTCGGAGCCTTGTGGCGTTTCAAATATTTGATTACATCCCTGACCTCTGCTTCAGTTGGGGAGCCTGTAGAGACAGGCCAAGCATCATCCATTATTGCTGAAGGTGCCACAGGGGGCTGTGTTAGGTGGTTGAACTGAAGAGCGAAATGCCCTACCCAGCGACCCGGTCTGCAATTACAAATCTAAGTCAATTGTGACGTCGTCGGGATATATTCCTCTCTTTAAAATGAAAATCCACAAAACTTGTATTTGTGCCGTCCTGTTGTACGGAAGTGTGTATTCGTCGAGTTGTGTGGACGACATGTCTTGGACAATACATGTTTGCGGAGGATAGCCGTGTGCGGTGCACCAACATGTTCAAAACGATTAAGTCCGGCGTCGCGTCTTAAGAGACATGAGCCCTAAATTTAATCACGTTGTTGCAATATATCAATTATGGTGGCTTGGCCACGTCCTAAGCATATCATGAGAGCGCTTACCACGCCGCACCTTGTTTGCTCGCTAGGGCTTGCACTGGAAGTGAACGTGTAGAGGTCAGGCAATCACTTGGCGGAAAAGCACGAAATCGCTGAACTCCTACATCGCCATCGTTTGCCCTGTACGTCTCCCTGTTTGAGGGCCAATGGATAGACACACTTGCTGATATAGCGTGAAAACGGAACCAATGGAAAACACGGTGCATTTAAATGTTTCGAACAATGTGAGTGGAGCCAAACCGATCAAGATCATAACAAACATACTAGCGTGCGGAAAAACCAAAAATTTGTACAATATTTTAGACTCTGGTACATTTTGCACTTTGGTCCTCAAGCTTTATCCATGGCTCGATGTCTATTTATAGGCTGATACTACCATACACATAGAGCAGAGCCTGCGTGTTGACAAGGAAGGACAATGGGCCCGTCGGAAGTAAGAAATGGAGGAAGGAAGTGCAAGATGCAATTATCGCAACCTATTCCATATGATCCACGCCACTGGTCCCAGGAAAACAGATATCAGCGAGACAATCAGACAGCGCGGGTGTTCTGAGTCACGAGCCGTATGGCTCGCTAAGCTAAGCAATTTCGAGAGCAGTAGATATGGTCCTCTGCTTATGGACCTCTTCTTACCTAGGTGTTGCGGGCCGAATCATGAACAGTTGGTTTACAGGCCCCGTCGGAGCCCGCGGTCCCAAACGCGATCACAGCCCTCAATCAGACACCCTCCCATCTGCTTTATTTAAGGCTGGGACTGAGGTCCTATGCAAAGCAAAAACCACTCTGTTTGCGCAGGTCTAGAAGAAAGATGCAATGGTGGGAATCGGGTGTGAATGAAGTAAAGTGGAGATATACACAAATAGCAGCCGCAATGACTGCGTTAACCGCAGGAATAGTAACCTAGCGCCAGTTATGAAAAAATGGCTGACCTCAATTATCGTTCGTCGCCTCACTGCCGAACGGGAATCTCGGATTACAGAACAGCAGACAGGTGTCTACCAAAGACACGGCTGTATAGACGACATATTTACCCTGCAGCAGGTGCTAGAGTAGCGCCACATGTATCGCTGTCAACAATAGCTATTTTCATGCATTTAAAGAGAGCGGACGGTCCAGTCGATGGATCCCTTCTGTTCGAAATACTTGCGTGGCAAGGTGGTACCATAACTTATGTGAACAACTTTCGTGCCCTGCACTCGAACACCATAAGCCGCATCAGGGTCTACAGTGACCTGTCGGATAGCTTTCCGACAACAATTGGCGTTCGTCGAGGTTGTCTGATTTCCCCGTTTCTGTTCAATTTCGTCGTGAACTCCATCATTTAGTGTTCCCTTACTGAATCTCACGGTGTATGCTTTGTGGTTCTGCCCGGTGGAAGATTAGCTAATGTCGATTATGCGGATCATATTGTCTTGCTTTTTGACGATGTTGCGGCCACACAATCAACCCTGAATAGCCTCGCTAGAGTGGTCCCATTATTTGGTATGTGCTTTGCACTTCAAAGTGTAGAAGTGTTGCTGCAGGATAACAGGCCACTTGATGGCCCCTTAACCCTTGATAACGAGGAACTCGAGCTGGTTTACTGATTCACCTACCTTGGCAGCTGCATCAGCAACGATGGTACATAGAAACTGATGTCAGTTCACTAATTTTAAATGCTAGAACTGCCTAACTAGACCTGCATCATCTTTGGTGATAGAGGAGAGTTTCCCTCCGTCTGAAAGACCGTGTTTACAAGGCTTCAGTCAGGGCCGCCCAGCTCTATGGAAGTCAGACTTCGCCCCTCCGCTCTACAGACCTGAGGCGCCCTCAAGTATTCGATCATCATTGTCTGCTGCGGAGTAGTGCGGGTGTCGAGTGACACCAGCGTGTCCGCAACGATGATGTGCGTAGGCGAGTACTAGGCAGTGAGAAACAAGCCATTTCCTTAGAACAACAGATAGCACTAAGTTACGTCGGCTTGGGTAGGTATTACGTATGGTTGGTCACCGCTTACCTAGGACATCCTTGTTTGGTCTGCCAGACGTAGGGTGGCGCAACGCCCCAGGTGGGCAAACATCAGCTTGGCATCGGGAATTGTAGTCACTGACGACCAAACTGGGTGCTGTCGGTCCTTCTTGCCTTCCGGGTTGGAGTCCACATGACTCCCTTCGTGCTCGAGTTGAAGCTTTGCAGGACAAGACTCGCAGTCAACACTAGTGGCGCGTCTGCTGCCGTCTCCTAGTCGGACTGCCCGTTTTATGTGTGTTTGTTGTTGAGTTATCTGGGGGATACTTGCTGATTATGACACGGAGCAGTAAAAACCACATTAAAGCTGTCGCGCTGCTGTGGACTCGTCTTGGCACGATAGCCAGCTGTTCGTGTAGGTATGTTTTCAACGCAAGGGGTAGGCTACTTGACTCTGAGTGTTGGTTTAGAGCATTAAGTTGACGCCCGGTCCCCTTCGTCTCACTCGTGTTGTTCTTCACTCGGCAATTCAACTTTTATTGTGTTGGCAACAATGCATCGGTTCAAATGGCTGATGTATTGCTGCTGTTGTTGATGACGATGACGACGTATTAGGTAGCCAGTAAGTTATATGGAAAAATATTTGAAGCAGTTCGCCTAAATACTGGACAGTGCTTGTGCTTGTCGGGTTTGTAGATGGTAGACTTGAGATCGATTACATCAGTGGTGAAAGGCTCAATCTGACGTGACGCATTCCGAAACCAGCGGCATTGTTATCTACTGTCTCTTAAGTACTTCATCTAAATATTTAGCTTTATGTTCATACCTCTGCTATCATTATTCTTATATTGGCTACGACAGCCAAAAATACCGCACGCGTTTGTAGGTTCGTCGTTGTGCTTCAACACTGCCTCAGTCACAGTCACCGTTCAGCATCATCCTACCGCAATCGCAATGAAGGAACTAAGTCCATTGTGTGAATATAGGTCTATATCACGCAAGATAACCATTTCGAGCCGTTGAAGCGACGAAGTTTCAGGAATGAATGGTAATACTGCATCATGTCCAAAAGTTTTCCTTCATTCGCGAACTTGCAGTATGTTCAGACGTACTTTGGATATGAAAAAAACCTTGGAAATGGGTTCCACAGATGGTTTTGCGTAGAACACAAGGGGCTCATTTGAAAAATATATCGTAAAAACTACTGGCAGGCACGCTTATTGTCACATCTACTTCTATTCTCCAACAGACAATCCCATCTATGACACGAAGGCCTATCGATTGGAGATGCGCGTCAGTATTAAAACACTTCGAAGGTTAGACAAAGATGTGTATACCGCCGAAGAGAATGAAGAAGCAGATCAGTTGGCAGAAATGAGGAAAACACAGAGCGCGAATGCGGAAGTAAGTTCCTTACATCGGAACGCAGCGAAATGATTCAAGCTGCCTTCCGCAGGGAATGAGCATAAGCTATGTGCCTGTAGTGTTTGTCTGCTAACTGTCGAAGTTGACATACAACCTATCGCCTCTAGCTCAGTAACAAATCAAACGACTGAAGTACGGTGATCCCAACGTTTCTGTGGTTCAGGTAGCCATCCACTTCGGGCATTTTTATTTGAATGTGCACAGATGAACGAGCTTCCAAGCTGAGTATATAAGGAGTGCCACCTATGCTGAATATGCCGAGGACATTCAATGGGCTGTTGCACTTCTCGTTCATTGTACTGCTCTGGCGACAGCCCACTTAGCAGTGGATGATAACGCGTTTTACGGAAGGTTAAAAGACATTCGTTATTCCTAATGACAAAGGAACAGGTTGCTAATTTTTGGCCAAATTAGCCCAGTGTTTAAGATGCAGCCCCGAGCCTACCAACTACTGTAAACGAACCCATCAAATCGTAATCCATAGTATATATCTATTTCTGCGCGATTAGAGTGAGCAAACTGCGTAATAAGCAGGTGACAATTAGGTCCAGATGCATACGCTTAAATTAAACTCTGCACTGCAAGGCCCGTTGATCGTAAGCGCTAACTGTCGGGTCCATATCGATCAGCGTGCTTTAGTTCACTTTGGTCACTATGATCTGAACACAGATGTGTTGTGGATTCAATTGCCACGATTTGCGTTGGCAATTATTGTACCATTTTTACGGCATTCCTCCCAGTAATTCACAAGTTACATAGAACAGCCCAATCCGGAAAAGCTCTAGATGCGTTTCGCCCTATTGGGGCTCGTCAGTGGTGCGCATTCCATCGGTCCCCCATGACCGCTAGAGGCAGATGCCAACTAGCCAGCAGTTTAAGCCACTGGGACATGGGGGACGTTGTCTGAGCTACATACTTTGCAAGCCAACTGAGATATGGCAACACCTATCTTCCACTGTCGCTGCCAGTGATTAGCCTGAGAGGTGATGAGGTCCTCTTGCTAGACGCTATATATTACTGACAATATTTGTAGCTGTGCTTGCGGTTGTGGGTGTTCGATTGCTCTCTGATTGGTTAGTTGCAGACGCTTTGCTTTCCGACTTCAAGGAAATCGGGTGGTCGCATCCAGAACACCGTTCGTTTGACGTGAGTCGACCCGTAACCAGAGTAACTATGATAGCTGTAGATGAATGATGAAGTAACGCAGCACGATATAAATACCATGAGTGTCGCAAGTGACGGTGATGGACGAAAGTCGCGTGGGCGAAACAGGTACGTGGTGGCACAACAATTGGCAAAAGAGTGCCGAATGAAGTGACAAAGTGGCGGATTATGTACAGATCGGACGGATAGAATAAAGCCCTCGCTAGTGCTGTAAGACATTTTGTTACAGTGTATCCAAGGCTATGAAGAATTAAGAGTCGGAGGGCGTAAAACGTAGATGACATTCTAGTTATTGCACCACCACTGTGATCAAATAAGTTTGAGAAATATCGTGAGCTTGAACGAGCGTTGGAGCAACGGAGTCAGTAGCCAAATCTGTGTTCTATGGCCAACGGGCACATCTCGAAAGTCTGACTGCCACACATAGTGACAGATTTAAGGATGGGTTTGCAAGATAATGGTTACTCGCGTCCACATGCAGTGTGCATGCAGTGTACGTCAAATCAGCCAACGAACAACAGCCTATCGGAATCTACAGACCGTTTGGAGAGCGTGAAGACTTTGGAACGCTGTCAGTGAGACAGTAACAATTATTGCAAGTAATGCTGGATTAACCTTGCCACACCACGCACAGTGTGGTCAAATCAAGAGTGAACAAAACAGAAAGGGAAGGGTAGAAAACAGGGTTATTTAGAAAGCGACGAAACACTGCATTCCGACTCAGCGGATAGCAAACAGGAGTGGAAGAACCAAAGGAGACATATGAATGGGGCATGTAGATTTGGGTTTATGAAAGTGACGATTGCATACAATAGAGCAACAGTGCTCCCTATGGTAGCATATTTACGTCCGTTCGAATTTCATACGTCTGCTTGTTAGAGAATAAAACAAATAATGCTCATTCTTTTGCACCCCAGAACACTCTTAAATGACCCGAGGCTCAAACACAGACATCTCGAAGCTGTCCCATGTGCCAAAGAACAAGCCCCAGCTTTAGGTTGATATAATAATTATTTATATAGTTGGTGATGTTCCATAACTTTTCCGGTTGCATGAAAACATTTCGTTTATTAAGGTTACATCCACTTCAGTTCTATGAAGTGATTGCCCTCCAATTGTTTCAGACATAATAGCTTGAAGAAGCGAGATGCAGAGAAGATCTTCAAGGGAGACGCATACATCAGCATCTTCTTATGCAACTCTGCAAGTTGATAGAATGATACATTTTCCCATGGATCAGATATTGAATGCTGCACCAATGAGTGACACTCACACACACACACACACACACACACACAATAACGAATAGACCATGCTTGCAATCAGCAAAATGTACTCTCTTTCTCTCTCGCTCTAACTTAACATCGGGTTGAACGGGAAAAACCGCATAACCGTGAGAAAATTAAAGGACGTAACAGTATGCAGCTTATAAACGCCTAGGCAATTAATTTGAATGTTAGCAACCAAGCAGTGGATAGACAGACATTTTCAAGAATACCAATAAAATAGTTTTCAACGGTTACTTGTACATCATCATCATTATCATCAACAGCAGTACATCAGCCATTTGAACTGATGCTTCGCTGCCATACAACCATGAGGACCTATGAAATAAAGAATAAGAAGAGGGAGAGAAGGGGGACTTACCTGAAAACCTTAATGCCCTAAGCAAACATTCAGGGTCAAGGCGCCTACACCTTGTGTAGACAACATACTGTCACAAACAGCTGGCTATCGTGCAAAGATAAGGCGGCATCGGCGAGACAGCTTCCTTGCGGCTTTCACTGCCACGCGTCATAATCAGTCATTACCCCGCAGATAACTCAGCACCAAACACACTTTAAACAGACAATCCGATTAGGAGACGGCAGCAGACGCGCCACTGGTGTCGGTTGCGAGCCATGTCCTGCAAAGTCTCAAGCCAAGCACAAGGTGAGTCACGTGGACTCCAACCCGGAAGGCGAGACGGACCAACGGCACCCAGTTTGGTTGTCAGTGACTTCATTTCCCGCTGCCAAGTCAACTTCTGTCCACCTCGAGCCTTGCGCCATCCGACACCTGGTAGACTGAACAAGGCCCTCCTAGGTAAGCGGTGACCAGGCATACGTAGCACATGCCCGAGCCAACGCAACTTATTCGGTGCTATCTGTTGTTCTAGGGAGCTAGCATGATTATCACCACCTAGTACTCATCTACGCACATCATCGTTGCGGACACGCTGGTGCCATCCGACACCAGCAATGCTTCGCAAACAACGATGATCAAAGACTTGGAGGCGCCTCAGATCTTCAGACCAAAGGGGCCAAGTTTCACTACCATAGAGCAGAACGGCCCTCACTGTGGCCTTGTATACACGGCCTTTCAGACGGAGGGAAACTCCCTTCTGTCGCCAAAGATGACGCAGGTTCAAGAAGGCAGCCATGGCCTTTGCAATGCGTGAGCTGACGTCAGTTTCTATGCGCCCATCATTGTTGATGCAGTTGCCAAGATAAGTGAATTGATCAACCACCTCGAGTTCCTCGTTAGCAAGCGTCAAGGGGTCATCAAGCGGCTGGTGGTCCTGCAGCAACACTTTGCACTTTGAAGGTGCGAAGTGCATACCAAATAATGGGACCACTCTGGACAGGCTATTCAGGTTTGACTGTGCCGCCTCAACATTGTCGAGAAGCAAGACGATATCGTCCGCATAATCTAGATCAACTAACCTTTCACCAGGCAACAGTTCAACGCCTACATCGTGAGATTCTGCAAGGGAACACTCCATGATAGAATCCACGACGAAATTGAACAAAACTGGGGAAATCGGACAACCCTGACGAACGCCACTTGTAGTCGAAAAGCTATCCGATAGGGCACCATGGACCCTGACGCGGCCTGTAGTGTTCGAGTATAGAGCACGAAGAATGTTCACATATTTCGTGGGAACACTTTTTCGCGCAAGTAATTCGAACAGAATCGATCGCTCGACTGAATCGAACGCATTCTTGAAATCGAGGAACACAGCTTTTGTCGGTCTGCGGTATGCGTGGCGCTGCTCTAGCACCTGCCGCAAAGTAAATATATGGTCTATACAGCCACGTCCTGAGCGAAAACCTGCCTGCTCTTCCCTAATCCGAGATTCCCGTTCTGCAGTGAGGCGACGAACGATAATCGAGGCCAGTAATTTTGTCACAACTGGCGTTAGGCTAATACCCCTGTGGTTCGCACAGTCTGTGCGACTGCCCTTTTGGTATATCGCCACTATAATCGATTCGCTCCAATTAGCCGGCACACTCCCTTCGATCCAGATACATTCGAATAGGGAGATCAGTGCCCTGCAGAGGACCTCACCTCCATCCTTAAATAGTGCAGGTCGGAGGGAATCCGGGCCAGCTGCACGAAAACGATTGAGGGCTGTGATCGCGTTTCGGACCTCGGCCTCCGACGGAGGCTCTAACCTAACCGTCCATGGCACGTCCTGCATCACCTGAGTAGGAAGAGGTCCGGGAGCAAGGGGCCAGCTGAACTGATCTTGAAAGTGTTCAGCCCAACGGGCCATACGGCGCTCATTATTGTGTATCAGCGCACCCGCGCTGTCCCTGGATGTCTCACTGACGCCTGGTTTTCTGGGACCAGTGGTGCGGATTAGCTGGAAGAGCTTGCGGTATTTGCCTACTGCTCCTGCCTCCTCCATTTCTTGAGCCCGACTGGTCCACCAGGCTTCCTTGTCAGCACGTAGGCTCCGCTTTAGTTCACGCCTAATAGCCCGTCTAGTCACATTGTGTTCAGAACCAGCCGGGAGATGTCTTCTAGCTTCCAACAGGTTCACGGACCTCTCGGATATCCAGTGACTGGTGCGGTGACGACTGATAGTACCACAAACAGATGCTCCTACGTCGTGCATAGCGGCTGAGATTCTATTCCACTGAAGCTCAGTGTCATTAGGACAAGACAGCGAGAGTTCGGTATGCAGTGCTTCTTGATAGGCTTGCCTGACCGAGGGCTGGGACAATTTCTCCGTTGCCAATCGGGGGAGACGCTTTGTGCGCCTTCCGGTAAAGTTCATGGAGAAACGACAGCGCACCAAGGCATGATCAGAGTCGACACAGGTACTCCAGTACGAGCGGCAATCCAGAATGGAACCGCGCCACCTGTAACTTATGGCTATGTGGTCAAGTTGGGTCCATCGCTGGCCAGCTACAGGTGGACGCCAAGTGGCACTTCGGCGCCCACTGTGTCTAAAAGCAGTGCTACTAAGAAACAAATGGTGCTCCGCACACAGTTGCAGCAGACGCTCGCCGTTGTCAGTCCGTTCGGCGTTAAGTCCATACTTACCACCCAGCTGAGCTTCTGAAGAGCTCAGACGCCCTACTTGTGCGTTCGTATCCCCTGCAAGTACTATAATATCTGAACTAGTAGTACTGCGTAGCAGCGTGTTCAGTTCGTGATAGAAAGTGTCCTTGACTGCATTAGAACTGCAGTCGGTGGGAGCATAAGCAGAAATCACAAACAAACAGCGTTTTGTTTTACTTAGCGAATTCACCTTAGCTGATGTCGTCAAACGGGCTGCACATAAACGGCTGTTCACTGGAATCCAATCAACCAACGATGACTCAGCCTTGCAGCTGAGAATGATACCTACACCAGCTTGACCCGTGAGTGCCGCATCGGCGTCTCCGGATGCGTGCAACCAATAACGAGAGGATAAGCCGGGTGCGGTCAATTCAATAACCCCGTTAAGGTCATTAATCCTAGTTTCGGACACACAACACACATCAACACCAAGTGTATCCAAGGTGCGTGCGAGTGCAGCCTGCTGACCTGTTTGTCTTAGAGTGCGGACGTTGAATGTCGCCATGGAAACGGGACAGCGTGGCCTTATAAGGGACTTTTGCCGATAGGCGTCCGATAGGTGCTGTGGGATGGTGGCTGCAGACGGTACTACTCCAGTAGCACTTCGGTTGCTGTCAATTAAGCTGGGAATTATAGAAGGAAGGTTAGTAATAGGGGCCGGGATGGGAGTAAGAGAAAAAGGTGGAAAAGAAAGGAGGGAGGCGCCAGCAGTAGCATGTTTTCGCTTATCCGCCCTGCTGTATGCAGCAGATAAGGCGACCCTTGATAATCTGCGCGACGGCCGATGCAGGATGAAGTTTATGTTTGAAGAAAATGTCATGGTTGTATGTGGGCTGGGATACTGTCAGGGCGCCCAGATCTAGACAGGAGGACGATTAGGGTCCTCATCCAAAGCCTTTGGCTCAAAAGCCTGTCCGGGTTACTTGTACAAAAGTCCACAAAAGCGGTTGTCCTGTCCTCTTTATATAGGTTAGTTAGATTCAACAGAAACCGAGCACTAAGTGCTTTCCGGTGAGCTGTACCTACTTACCAAGATATCGCAAGCATGTTGGGGGATTGGCACTCCATTCTCACCATCATCCTCATAAACAACAGCAGCAGTACATCAGCCATTTGAACTGATGCTTCGGTGCCATACAACAATGTTGACCATTGGAATAAAGAATAATAAAACGGAGAAAAGGCGACCTACCGGAAAAAGTTAATACACTAAACAAACATTTAAGGTCAAGGCGCTTACACCTTTCATTAACAACATACAGTCACGAACAGCTGGCTATCGTGCCAAGACGAGTCCACAGCAGCGCGACAGCTTTAACGTGGTTTTTACTGCTCCGCGTCATAATCAGCAAGTACCCCCCAGATAACTCAACAACAAACACACTTAAAACAGGCAGTCCGACTAGGAGACGGCAGCAGACGCGCCACTAGTGTTGACTGCGAGTCTTGTCCTGCAAAGCTTCAACCCGAGCACGAAGGGAGTCATGTGGACTCCAACCCGGAAGGCAAGAAGGACCGACAGCACCCAGTTTGGTCGTCAGTGACTACAATTCCCGATGCCAAGCTGATGTTTGCCCACCTGGGGCGTTGCGCCACCCTACGTCTGGCAGACCAAACAAGGATGTCCTAGGTAAGCGGTGACCAGTCATACGTAGTACCTACCCAAGCCAACATAACTTAGTGCTATCTGTTGTTCTAAGGAACTGGCTTGTTTCTCACTGCCTAGTACTCGCCTACGCACATCGTCGTTGCGGACACGCTGGTGTCACCCGACACCCGCACTACTCCGCAGCAGACA